ACAGAGATTATTTGGACCCATCTAGGACATTGGTGGGTGTTTGGGCCCATCTAGGACACTGATGGGATATTTGGACTCATTCGGGATGCCGGTGAGATAGGATTGAACCCGTAGGGATTGTTTGGACCTATCTGGTTATGCCGGTAGAGATTATTTGGACTCATCCGGTATGCTGGTGAGGTATGATTGGACCTGCAAGGATTATTTGGATCCATCTAGGATGCTGGTGGGCTATATAAGTGACCTACTTGGGATGTCAGTAGGGTATTTTGTGAAATCTTTTGAATGATGCATTGATGTTAAAATGTTTATATGCATTGCAATAATTGGGATTATGTTTAACTATGCATTTCTGAAAGTGAAATTGTTATCCATAAATGTTTTTGGCTGGCAATTCTTTCTCAGGTGATTTTTAATATACATTTTTTAGAAAATGTTTATATCTTCTAACCATGATTATTTTTTTAGGACCATGATGATCACTTACTGAGTAGCCATACTCATCAAACTATGGTAAATATTTTTCAGGGTAATTACAGTCTAATAGTTTGATTGTAGCAAGACTATGTTTGAAGAATGTGTAGGCATGATTGACCTCCCCTTGTAACTTTGGGCTCAAATGCAGTATTGTAATTTTTGTTCTATCAAGAAATGTATATATATAGCCTTCTTGTTGGTACCAGTTGTGAGCAAACTTTGTAGAAATTATTAATTAATTAATGAAAAAAAATCCGTTTTGGTACAATATATATAAGTAGGAATTTAAATTTTTCCCAGTATAAGAATAATCCGTTATACTTCAGGAATGTTAGTAAACTTGGGGTGTGACAATTGTCGATGGACATATGCATTGTGAAATAAATACTCAGCATCCTCATATAAAAAATTCATTCCTACAAATGGGTCATTTTCATGCCCCCTATTGTCTAGTTGATCACAAAACAGTGAGATCTCATTGTCCTTCCCATCCCCAGTTGCTATGACATTATCATAACTCCAATCCATAAAATGGTCTTTATGGAAGTGATCCGGGTCCCTATCAAAGGATGAATTGGCTAAAAGTGCCTCAATGGGTATGTAAGCCTCAATAGGCTCCATATTAGCAACCATAGTATCACTTGAGGACGCTCCACCTTTTCTAGTGATGTCCATAGCTTTTAATCAATAATACCTAAACATAAGTAACTAACACAAAGTCACTTCTATGTCACATAGACACACAAAATTCAAGCATAAACATGAATTCCAAAACAAAACTACACCTAGCAGCACAACAAATAAAAAATACCAATTAGAAATTGAGTTATAAATTGATGGTAAAACACCTAGAAATTTTAAAATTCACAATTAAAAATCACAATGCGAGAGGTAGAGATAGAGAGGAAGAGCTCGAAATCAACATGAATATGAATGCTATAGAGACATGAAAATTTACTGTTATAATAATACTACAACTCTATTAGCTCAGTTAACTCAACGAATAATGCCCAAGTCAGATGATTCTTTGGTCCACAATTCAAAATTCTATTAATTTAACAACCACATGAAGTAACTCATTACATATAAAATCGAATTTATGAAAATCAACAACCTTGTATTCACAAGAGATTAAAAAAAGAAGAAGAAAGAACACACAAAAAAAAAAAAAAGAGGGATAACAAGTTAACACAACGAAAAAAGTGAACGAACCAAGTAAAATTAGCAAAACCAAATTTTCATTGATTGATTAGACCACCAATGTTTTCCTATTCCCTAAAACAAAGAGGCATGGGGTGGTGTTTACACTCGAAAATTTCAATCTGGACTGGGGTCCTGGCCTAGGTTTTGGGCCTAAAGTCGTCACAAAGTGGGGAAACTAGAGGATGGGTCCCGTCGAATGATAGTTGAGGCAAGACACAAGTAAGAAGACCATCCCTCACTGAAACGGCCGACAGAGCCGGCTTTCGGAATCATAAGCTTGAAACCAGATCGGGAATTTGGGAAATCAGGATAGAAGGAGAGAGATTTCGAAATGGTTTGAAATATAACTAAGTAAAAGCAAATAAATCAAAATAATAAAATAAATTAAACTTGAGACCGAGCTCCAAGGCCCGGTGCCCGGAGACGGCATCGAAATGGGACTAGTCTGAGCGCAGCTTTTCCTGAACTATCATAGATTCACTGATTCAAGTCAATGTACATTGTTTAGATTTGAGGGTTGAAGGATAGGAATAGGATTTGTGGTTTTGATTCGGGTTAGATATGGATTAGGGTTCAAACGAACATAGTCTAGGTGTTTTAATCAGAAATATGATAAATTTTGAAAATGGCATAGCCTTGGAGCCAAAATTATCTCTTTGAAATAGGGGATGGGGGGAGGGGGGCGCGCCATTTTATAGATATGTCTCATGCATTATCGTCGTCTAAAGTTGAGATTGAATCTAGGCCGTTGATGGCCATCGTGGTTGTCATCTTTGCCAATGGAGCTGTAACAGTCATTTTCTTGTAATGATTACAGGTTGTGTAACACACTACCTTGATGTTACAGCTCGCTTAATTTTGGGCAGTAGATGGTGGTTGCTCTGGCCAATCAGGAAGTGGCGACGTTGCCAATTGGGTTGACGCAATTTACAATTCCCTTGTCCATAATTATTACAATTTCTCTCATTCCTATGTCAGACGGTTAAGCCGCCATTCTCGACCAATAGGGTGTGGACATTATGGTGACCTCCATTGGCACAGTTGCAACCTTCGTTTCTTTGTACTGATGATGGTTTCTTCACTCCGATGTCAAGCGGTTAGACCGCCTTTCTAACCAATCAAATTGCGATGCGTTTCCCATATGCATCAACAAGCTTTCAACCTGAGTTGCATTCATCACCACATTAAAATGTTGGTGATACCTACGTTAACTTCTATAGTGTTTCAGTTGGCCTCTTTCTCCTTTTAAGTGCTTGTTTCATGCTTTGGTTTTTCATTTTGGGTCCCCTTCCTTCTTTTGCAGGTCGTCTGAGGCTGCTCTGCTGAGTTTCAAGTTCTGCCCATGGTTTAAGTAGTGTGGTGAGGCTCAATTAGGTGTTGGGGATAGTTCAGGTCCATGGGTGGCTTTCCCAGAGATTTTGGTTTTGATACTGTTTCCTCCATCGGGATCGGGGTGTCTATAAGTGTAAAATCTATTATACGAATAATGAATATTTTGTTATCTCCCTCTCTCTCACTCTAACAATCATAGAGTACATTCTCACTCTAAAAAAAACTAAAACAATAATGAAAACCCTAGTTTGTCAAAAAATAAAATAAAAATAACAATGAAATTCCAAAATAAAAATCCAAAAAAAAAGACAAGACAAGAACATGAAGACCCCAAAACTCAGATGTCTCCCATTTCATCAACACTATGAGCATAAAACTGTAAAAGCAGAAAAAATTGATTTTGATGATGCTCATACCTCGTGATGGTGGTGCAAGCAAAATGAAGTGGGGTGAAAGAAAGATGACGAAACTATGAAATAAAGATGCTCATTCTTTCTTCTTCCTTTTCTCCCGCTCTCTTTTTCCCTCTTCCCCTTCTTCCTCCCGTTCTTTCTCTCTTTATGTTTCCTTCTTCTCCTTCTCTCTCCGTCAAAGGAGTCATTTTTTCTTTTCTCTCTATTACATGCAAGTTTGAAGGGCTACCCGTTGAGCCCATAACCCTAATGACATTATGAGGGGTGCAGTTGGCATACATATGCATCTGTAGCTGTAGAGGTAAGGTGGACCTTCAAAATTTATTTTGGTATATAATTTTGATGTAAAATGTTATTAGGATTATCTCAAAATATACTTTTATATCTAATTATAAATTTTTAAATTTTAAAAATGGTTAAAATCAAGTAGATTTATAAACATATGAAAATATTGAAAATGGACGGTGTAGATAATATGTTATAAAATGCATTAGTTATGAGACTTAGAATCTTTTTATTTTTCATGGTCATATATCTCGATGTTGAGATGGTCAATCAAAGGGTTTTTCAACATTAAAATTACCTTTTCCGACGGATTTTTGAGGTGCATCCGTAATTCCACATTATAAGGTTGCATCCTTGTATAAACTTTTTCCCATTGAGTGAGGTGATCGTAACCGCCCATTTGAATTGGATGATTGGGAAGGAGATGGAATATGCTTGTTATATGTTGTATGCGAAGTATAGAAAGTTTCCCCTAAATATTTTACATCTAACCACTTACATCTAAGTGCTATCCCTCTCTCTCTCTCACGGATGTCTCTAACTTTTACATTTGGAGAGATTATATAATGACGTGATGTTAAAACAGGCAAGTGCACTCTTTGTAAGGTAAGATAGTTGTCAAGATGGTTAAGATAAATTAAGATAAATTAAATAGTTTAGATAAGATAAATTAAACAAGCAAGTGCACTCTACTGAAACATAGTTAAGATAAATGGGCAATGTTTATATACTTCCACTACAATATAGAAGATCTATGCTTCTCTTACTTTCTAGCCGTCCAATTTTGATCAAGAGAGCCACTCATTATTTGGCTTTAGATTCGACGTCTCAAAGTATTTTTTTTAAACTTTTTTATACAAATTGTATAAATATGAAATTTGGTATGTGCCATATTTTCATTGGGGCACACCTATAAAAATATTAAAAATAACTTTTCGATAAAATATAATGACTAAAATACCTTTTGAAAATTATAAAAGTATTTTGGTCATTTTATTTTATTGAAAATAGTTTTTTTATATTTTTTGTTAGTACGATTTTAATAAAAAATTGGATGTACAAATTTGACGTAAAAATAATTTATAAAAAAATATTAAAAATAAAATAACGTAATGACGTGACATTATGATTGGAGCAATCTTAATCTCTCTTACAAAATGGAATAAAGGAAAGTATATAAATTTTAATATAAATTACATGGGTGCTAGAGCGAGTGTGCACATAGGTTCTGGAGAGAGAGAGTGTACATTGAATACAGACCACTCAAATTTTTTGGGTGGTCGCGTTAAATATCAGAAATTATGATATAGGGCATACGTGAGGGACACGTGCTCCGTGAAGGACCCAAAATCAGGGGGTCATGGGTTCGAAACTTGTGGCGAGAGCCGTGCTCTGTCGTCTGCTTTTCCCGCGCTTCTTCTCCTCTGCAAATTCTCATTTTGAAAAACCGCTTTCTGTTCCACCTGATCGAGGGAGACGGCAAAAGGTATTACCATCAAAATCGCTTTTGTTCCTTTACATGGTTTTCAAACTACCATCGAAACGGCTTATCCCTGCCAAAACCCCTCCTCTGGCATAAAAAACCGCCTTAGCCGCTCATTTGTGTAACATCCCTGGTTTCCATGGCATTGGGGAACATCTGTTTTATTGAAAACGGAAACGATAAACTGCTGACTCCGGCAAATTTGTCTTTTTCTATGGCAGACTCCTTACGGAAACCCTAGTCGATGGTCATGGCAGAAGGTATGCAGATCAAAATCAACTATCTTCACGGCAGTTGTTCAGCTTTCTATGGCAGTCGTATCATACCAGATCCATTTTGTTTCCTTAACATAGTCGTCAAAGCCCTCCTTATGGTTGCATTTGTAACAAAATGGGTTCGCTTGCATTTCTAACAAGATGGGTTTGTTTAGATCAGTGATTAAAAAATTGGTGAGTCGACTCAGAACCATCCTAGTCCGCTAGGACTTGTGATGTGGTCTAAGACCGTACACAGTCCAAGACCGTGCTACCTCGTTGTGCAAACACGCACAGGTTTAAGAAAATGGTTCTCTCTCCCTTAACATTTCATTATTCAATCTCAATATATGTGGAAAAAGTTTATATAGGGTTGCAACCTTATAATGTAGAGCTACAGATGCACCCCAAAAATCCATCGGAAAAGGTAGTTTTAATGTTGAAAAACCCTTTGATTGATCATCTCGATATCGAGATGTATGACCATAAAAAATAAAAAGATTTTAAGTCTCAGAAATAGTGCATTTTACAACATATTATCTACACTGTCTATTTTTAAGATTTTCATATATTTATAGATCTACTTGATTTTAACAATTTTTGAAATTTAAACTTTTATAATTAGATATAAACATAGATTTTGAGATACTCCTAAAAACATTTTACATCAAAATTATATACCATGATAAAATTTGAAGGCGCACCTTGCCTCTACAGCTACAGATGCATCCGTATGCCAACTGCACCCAATATATATACATATCAAGCGCTTTCCCTCAAGATGGGGATTTCAAATCAAAGTCAAAATAACAAACCTATTCAAATTAGGAAACTATCTCGAACTGGATAACTCTTAAATCTTAATTGAAATATTCAAATCTATTAAATCTTATGCAAATGGGAAACTTCCTAACTACTCCTAACTAAAACTATGGGTTTCCTAATATTCCACCCCTTTCAAATCAACCTTGTCCTTAAGGTTGGAAATCTAGGTTAGCAGATCATCTTTCCCTCAGTTGGCATCACTGTCTAGCATAAACAATTACACAACTATGGCCGAAGTAAACCTATCATCACAATCATAGCAGAGACCCCTGTCTTGATGCTCCTTCATCTCGACCAAGTTAGTTTCTTAATTGCAAGGGTTCCTGTCGTAGAAGTCTTTAGTAAGGGCATGGTAACTCCTCATTGAATTGATATTTTTTTATGAGGCTAATAAAAGTTGGATAGGGTGAACTAGCACGGTATATGCAGTTTTTAATTATTCTTCTTTTTACTGGCTAGAACACTTACAAAGGTCCGATCCAAATAAAATAAAATAAACTCAAAATAAACAAGAATGAAATACAATAGAAGTTCGCACTTGTTGCCACTAATAAAAACTCTTTTATTTAATAAACAAAAATATATAAACTCTTGTAGGGACCAAACAACCATAAACTGCAAAGCATAGAAATAAACTGCCAGAAGGTTGCCTTAACTGGACTTTGCACACCCCACTTCGGTCTCCTCCTCGGATGGCGCATGGGATCAAGGTCTATCTCATATCTTCAAAGTACGGAAATCTTAGGCTATTCAACCCTTCAAATCAGAGAGCAATGGTGGAACTAGTAGCAATCAAAGGCTAAGTATCAATGCTTAAATATTTGGGGCGTGCCCCTCTCTTGGGCTCTTTAAGCTATGGTGCATGCCCCCAATTCAATATTTTTCTAACATAAAGAGGGAAGCTAAGAGAGATGATAGATTAGAGAGAGGGTGGCATGCCACCTTGTGAGAGGAGAGAGATGTAATGTGTAGAGAACTAGACGCCCCCCCATAGAGGCTTTTTATAAACTCATACTAGGGTTAGGGTTTCTTAGGGTTAGCCATCATTATATAGAAGGGATCCATATCATTGATCAAAAGAGACCTGTGGGGTGAGAGATTTTAGCCTTATAATCCTTAGATCAACCATCATGATTAAAAGGAAGGTGTTAAAATCTTATCATTCAGTTTCCTTAACCTAATCCCATCAAATAAATAATATATAGAAAAATATAATGCACATTCCTTTCTTTTCCATAATTCTCTTACACATGCTTTAATTTGAAAATAAACTCTATTTAATTTTTAAGGCTTTCTATTTTGTTTCACATTGACTGAGTGCCTTGATGGCCTCATCATAAAATAAGAAAGAATGCACAAAACTGGGTGTGCTCCTTATGGGGCCTCAAGTGGGCCCCACACACCAACTGCATGATCTTATTTAGTGGGGCCGCAAGAGTATAATGGGCTCCCGTGTGTAATGTTAATTTTAAAAAATAGAAAATGATTTTTAGTAAAAGATTTTTATTTTATTTTCTCTCTAAATATTAAAATATTGAAAAGTCAGTTTTAAACAATATAAATCCATTTTGAAAAAATAAAAAATCTAGAGCTTTCTAAAAATTCATTCTATTAATCCAAAAATCATTTACCGTTAAAATAATTATTTGAAAATTATTTTGATGGGATTTGGATCCAACTAAGTTAAGGATATACTAATTTGTTGAAGCACTCCATTTTCTACTAAGAACTATAATCCATACCACTTTCTCAAACTGGCACAACAATATCTATGATTTATGGACTATCTCCGGGGTTCATGATTGAGCTACCAAAATTAGCCAATAGGTGAGGGGACATAATCCTAGTCTATGGATTACAGGTTCCCCCAGGGACAAATCCAAGGTCACCTAGACCCTCATCCCTACAGGCCTTCCAATCGCATACAAGGGCCACACAGTCCCTGGCTCACTACCCTAAGCAATTCCGTCCTCATCAAGGGATAACCCCGCTAACCCTCATCGGTTGTGCTCCATGCGTAGGTATTTAAGGTTTTGTAACTCGACTGGCTTAGCTCATTAAGTGTAGCCTGAGTCTCGCAAACATCATTTGCCACTCTCGGTCCTACTGGACCATACTTCTACTGAAGTTCTTTGTTTCCACTCTATCAAAAATTGATTACATGCTCTCATAAGGCTTTTTGCCACAAATACCCAACATTTTCCACTTGGCCTTTGAAGGCTTTACAATCCCTCTTCCTCACTTTCTCTTAGCCCCATCTCACGTGCATTTTTTACAAAAACATTTGCAATTAACCCCTTTGTAAGCGGGTCTGCAATCATTACCTCAATGGGTATGTATGTGATCTCAATCTCTCCACACTGCACCTTATTGCGCAGATGATAAAAGTAGGGCTTATTGTGCTCGAACTTCCTATGGAATCATGGCTCTTTAGACATGCATATTGTGGCCGTGTTGTCGCAAAAGATTCTTACGCACTCACATCATACAAGCTCAAACTCCATCCAAATAAGAAACCTCTTAATCCATACAGCCTCCTTGGCTGCCATGCAACATTCCACATACTTTGACTCCATGGTGTGCATCGCCACCACATCTTTTTATTTTTGACTTTCAAGAAACAACCCCTACTCCAAGCATGAATACATGTGTAGATGTGGACTTCGCATCATTTGGATTACCCTGGTAACTCGCATCCGAATATGCTTGGATAGCAATTTCTGATCCTCCCTCATATGTTAGTGTGTAATTATCAGTCCCATTTAAATATCTCAAAACTCTCTTAACCGCTTTCTAATGCTCAATCCAATGCACTGGAATCGGCTAATCATGCTCATGGCAAAGGACAAGTCTGGCCTTGTTCTTGACATGGCATACCTAAGGGACCCTACTGCTCTTCGATATGGTACTCTTTCCATAGCTTTCTTTTTGTCATTGTCTTCACTAGGGCACATTTGACTTCAATTTTGTCTTCTTATCTATAGGGGTCGATATGGGCTTACACTTGTCCATCATAAACTTTCCAATGCTCTTTTGTAATAAGTTGCTTGGGAAAGTTGAATGGTACGCTCTTTTCTGTTTCTTATTATCTTGATGCCCAACATGTAGGAAGCTTCCCCTAGATCCTTCATAACAAAGTGTTGTGCAAGGAATTTTTTTGTTTCTAACACAAGGGCAATTGAGCTACTAACTATCAACATATCATCCACATACAAAGAAATAAATACAATATCGCTCCCACTGATCTTTTTATAGATGTAGTAGTCTTCCTCATTTAAGGTAAACCCGGCCAGAGTCTTCCTCATTTGAGGTCCACTCTGTTAGAGATAGTGTCTCCAAAAAGTTGATTTACAAAAGGAACGAGGCTTGTTTTAGGCCGTAGAGAGATTTTCTTAGTTTGCATACAAGGTTCCCCTTTCCTTTCTTTTCAAATTCCTTAGGTTGTTTCATGAAGATTTCCTCAAAGTTAATGTGGTTGTTTTTAGGTCCATTTGATAGACCTCAAAGTTAATGTGGGCAGCTATGACTATCAGGATTCTAATAGACGTAAGCTTAGCAACTGGGGAGAAAGTTTTCTCACAGTCTTCCCTTTTTTTTGGGTGAATCCCGAATCCCTTAACTACTAGCCTAGCTTTGTATTTCTCTCTTTTCCCCTCTGAGTTTAGCTTTTTCTTGAACACCAAAGTAAATCCTATTGCCTTATAGTTTTGAGGTAGAGGTATCAGTTCCCAGACTTGGTTTTGGGTTATGGAATTGTATTTATCTTTCATGACTTCTACACAATAGTTCTTTTCAGAGCAGGTTATGACTTCTTGGTAAGTGGAAGGCTCATGATCTGGCTCATCCCCACTCTCATAGTGTTCCCCCAAGTAGGTGAAGAATTCAGGTTGTCTCTTAATACTTCTCCTAAGTAGTGGTTTAGGTTCTCGAGACTCAACCTTGTCACTAGCAATCTCATAGAGATCTGCTTGCTTGTGACTCGTTTCTGCTTCATGGAACTCATCCTCAAAGAAGTGAGCCTCTCGGCTTTTTATAACCGCTCCATTCCCTGAAAATTGGGCTCTATTTTTAAATAAATTAGAACTTTTCAAGTGGTGTGTTGAATATTTTTTGGTTCTAGGCTGTGTTAGGAAAGGCCGGGATATGTTTTGTGTTTAGTTTTCCTTAATTTTTCATGAAAT